ATTTGGCCAGCAAATCAAAAGTTAGCAGTAATATCACATCTTTTTGAAAGCTTTCCTGAGATTCTAGAAGGGAAAATTATCTCAGAAAACTGTTTCTACTGAGTAAATTTCAGGAAGAAATGCTCCTCACTGCTTGAAGATGTTCTGTCTCTGGAAAACTGGTAAGACAGAAGCCCGTCCCTGCTGGGAAGCACTCTCTTATCCATGTACATACATTGCCAATATTGCCCTCAGTGGAAGCAAATAATTACATTCGCAGATTACCGTCGCCTAATGTAAAATTTTACTCAACACATATAACCTACCAATGATGTTCTGAATGCACAAAAAGGGGCTCATGGATATCTCACTTTCAGAGAGTGCTTTAACTTTTTGACTCATTGCAGGTAGTTAAAATGTAAACTTTTTAAGGCCACATTTTAAAACACTTTGCAAACGCTGGACACCTCTACTCGTGAACATCCTGTAAATTTTTCAAGTCCATTTAATCACTAACATGCCAGATCATCTTCCCCGCTCCCCTAAAACAGAGATGAAAACTGGGTATAATGGCAATTTGGGGGGCAAATACCTTCTCTCATCATCTGAAAATTGTCATATGTTGCTTTTTTAAAAAATTAAATTACTGTTATTTGTTTTCTACCCAGAGACAAGTTATTTTGGTATCACCCACAATGGAATTTGCATGAAAATCTGTTTATTGACCCAGTTCCCTAGGGGTACATTTGCCCTAGCACTTGGAGTAAACACCATTTTCATTGCACTAGAAATAGTTCTAATTGGACAAATTGTTATAATTTTAGCAACACCCAAATAAATCAAAGGAATTGGAGGCAGACATGCCACAGAATCTGGATTCGACCACAAACCAGTTCAGTATTTGTGCCTGAAATAAAAGTCTAGTCATATACCATCTACAGATGCTAGAGGAACAGCTACATACCTTGACTGAACTTAGAAAAATAAATTTTTAATTGTACTTTAAGCTCTGGGATACGCATGCAGAACATGCAGGTTTGTTATATAGGTATACATGTGTCATGGTGGTTTGCTGCACCTATCAACCTGTCATCCAGGTTTTAAGCCCCCAGTGCATTAGGTATTTGGCCTAATTCTCTCCCTCCCCTTGCCCCAAACCCGACAGGCCCCAGTGTGTGATGTTCCCCTCCCTGTGTCCTTATGTTCTCATTGTTCAACTCCCACTTACAAGTTTTAAAAAAAAAGAAAGAAAATATGAGTTCAGAGAAACTGGTTGTTCTGAAAACAGCCTATTGAAAAGTTATGTGACTGGTTAACTGTGTGTGTGTGTGTGTGTGTGTGTGTGTGTATGTGTGTGTATGAGTTCATCCATTTCATTAACTGGGGTATTTTCACTAATACAATCTAAACAACAGGAAATGAATTTATAGAGAATCAAACAATAACATTCAGAACTCAAAGTTAAGCATAGCGTAAAATATATCTCAGTGGAAAGCATGTAAGTGCCTAAATTCTCCTTCCAAACCCTTCTATAAACTCTGTATTTTCCATTATCCCTTGACATGTATCATCCTCTCCAAGAAGCTGCACCTTTTTACTGCTGTTCACGTACCTCCACGTCATGCCCTACTCTATGCCTTTGTCCTGTTCACTCCCCCTTTCCTCTCATCTTGGATGTCTTTCCCAAATCCTTCTTGTTATCAAACACTCATCTCCTCCACAGAGCTTTGGATGTTACAATGTTAACTTACACACATCTTCTGAACTTCCCTAATTATCTATATCCAAATTTAGCATTTAATCATAGAACTCTCCTCTCTGATTACATATATGTTTGTGTGTACCTTTTTTTCCCTCAACCAAATCACATGATTTAAAGGTAACACTGGTCTTTAATGCCTGTCCTTAAAGTTTCCATCAAGATCCTACTCTGCATTTAATCTCTTTCACTAGTTATCCCTTCTCTTTTCTTTTTTTGAAAACATGCTTAAATGTGCCCTATCCTGAAGAAATCTCCTCAATTCTCAAGCTCTCCCACCATATCTACTTTCTTTCCCTCAAAACTTCTTGAAACAGCATCCCTTCCTCCACTTCTATTCTCTTCTCTCTCAACCCCTCCAATTTGGTTACCCAAGCACACCCTTCTCTCTCAGCCACAGATCCCTGCAGCATTGAATCCTCATGCACCGTCTTTCTCCTGGAGACTGGGACAACCTTGACTCCCGGATCATCTCCTTCCCCCAAGCCCAGCATTCTCTGTGTTCTTTCCTGGTTCCTGCCCTTGAATTCTCAGTCATCACTCCTCATCTTTCCTCAGTCTCCCATGGCAATTGCATCTCTGCTTTTGTCTTTAACTTCGAAATCTCCAAGATTTCCTAATCTCAAATTTTAGTGAACTCTCTGTGGGGTCCCAGACCTTATGCTGCCACCTGCTGGCCAGTTCCATGGGGCTATCTCAGAACAAAATTCAAGTTTATTCCCAAACACCTAACCATTCTATTTACTTTATTTTTCCTCCATTAACTAATCACATCACCAGTTTCCTAGACCTCCCTGATAGAGGTTTAACATCAGCATCCTCCATGACTTAACGATCTTCGCCCCCAGCATCAACCACTCAGCGTGTACTATAAATATAACGCTACTTACCAGAGCGTCTGTCCTCTGTGTTACATCCCTACCTAGCTCTTTTTTTTTTTTTTTCGTGACCCCCGTCTCACTTTGTCGCCCAGGCTGGAGTGCAGTGGCGCAATCTCGGCTCACTGCAACCTCCACCTCCCAGGTTCATGCCATTCTTCTGCCTCAGCCTCCCAAGCAGCTGGGACTACAGGTGCCCGCCACCACGCTGGGCTAATTTTTTGTATTTTTAGTAGAGACGGGTTTTCACCATGTTGCCTAGGCTGGTCTCAAACTCCTGAGCTCAGGCAATCCGCCCACCTCGGCCTCCCAAAGTGCTGGGATTACAGGCGTGCACCACCGTGCCCGGCCCCTAGTTAGCTCTTCTTAGACCATGACTGCCTGTCCCCAGCATACTGGATGAGACCTCACTGATCTGCCCCCATTTTCTCCCCTGAACCCCAATCCTCCTGACACTTCTGCCAGGCAAATCTTCTTGAACCAAGTGTCTGAGCAATTCTCTAGATGAAGAGCCTCAAGACATTGTGTCCTACTGGTAGAATAAAGCCCAAATTCCTTAACTCTGGAACTTCTAGAAAGAACTTCAAGGCCGTGCATGACCTGGCTGCAGACTATCACCATAGCCTCGGCTGTCATCACGCTCGCTTCCTCTCACAATATTCACTCTGGCTCCAACCTCCCTGAACTATTTTTTTTTTTTCCCTGTACTTTGAACAAAAGAGCCTTACTCCGGCGCTAGAGCTTGTCATGCACTCCTGTCATATCTTTACACAGTTGACCACTTCTTGTCATTCAGGTCTTATCTCAAATGTCACCTCCTCTGGCAAAGCATACTCGGACCACACAATCTAATTACCTTCCTCCTCCTAATACCCAGGTGAGTCTTTCACAGTTAATCTGTTGTATTTCTTCTAAGCACATCTCAGCATCTGAACACATCTGTTCATTTATGTTTATTATGGAGCGTCCGTCTCCGCACACTCAAATGTAAGCCCCATGCGCATGAATATTGCTTTTCTTCACTCAACCCAGCTCCTGGAAAAGTGCCTGGCACACGGAAGCCTGAAATCAGATTCCTCCACGGCGTGGCACCCATTTCCACCTCCTTATTCTGTCTCTGTTTATATGTCTGTGCTAGCTTTTAGCACATTACATCTTTTATTTGAACAGCTATTTCCAAAGAAAGTGAGGAGGAGGGAAAGGAGGACATATCAAAGTCTGGGGGTGGCGGGGTACAAGAAGGAATGAATCATTTCTGAAACACACATTCAAGTTGTGTAGTTTTCAGTGTAAAGGATTTGTGCATTTTTGTTAAAATTGACCCTTATGTTGCATGCTTTTGATTCTGCTATAAGAAATACTCTTTAAATTTCATTTTCTATGTGCTAGTTTCTAATATATGTATTAAAAATGAATGTTTATATTGACCTCACAGCTGTAACCTTGCTAAATTTACTACTCAGTTCTAGGTAACTTTTAAAATTATGTGGTTTTGGGCCAGGCACAGTGGCTCATGCCTGTAATCCCAGCACTTTGGGAGGCCGAGGTGGGCGGATCACAAGATCAGGAGTTCGAGACCAGCCTGGCCAATATGGTGAAACCCCATCTCTACTAAAAATACAAAAATTAGCCGGGCATAGTGGCACGCGCCTGTAGTCCCAGCTAGTCAGGAGGCTGAGGCAGGAGAATCGCTTGAAACCAGAAGGCGAAGGTTGCAGTGAGCCAAGATTGTGCCACTGTACTCCACTCCAGCCTGGGCGAAAGAGCAAAACTCCGTCTCAAAAAAAAAAAAAAAGAAAAAAAAAAACAAAATGCAGTTTTTCTTATGTGCACAATCATCTGAAAATATAGTTTTAATCATATGTTCAAAAATGCTTATTCAATATCATTATTATTTTTAAGCACAAGCTATGGAAAATAAGACATCAAAAAATCATGCATGTTTCGGGATAGCTACTATGCAGGATTTAAGAAAATAATAGTATTACAGGGGACAGGGATTAAAATAGTTGAAAAATACTGTCTTACAGCAACTTATTATGATGCATATTACATTTTGAACTCTTGGAGAGCAATACCATGTCTTGTTTATTTGTCTGTATTCCAGCAAACCTAATAAAGTACATTTTCCAAAGTAGACAATAAATGTTTTCCAGATACCCCAGTACTATATGCATGGTATATGTTCAATAAAATCTTGCTGATCGATTGAAAGAACCAATAAATTTAAGTTTGTTGAATGATCAGTGTATGCTCAGCCCTGCTGAGACACTATAACAAGAAGACACACAAAAAAATAGAAAATACACTCATTGTTATCCATAAACATCATTTATCAGGTAATGCTGAAACAAATGCACCACAGAAAACATTTGAGTGGTTACCTGTGCATTTCTTTATATGACTGTTCCTTTTCCCATGTGATCCTAACTTGCAGCCAAAATTCTCCTCCCAAAATTCTGCAAACCACACATTTCTTCGATTGTTGGCAAGAGTTCGGCTTCTAAAGTATCGATCAAATCCTATTTCAAAGGAGAAAGGTAAGATTTTAATATTCTTTCAAAATTAAATATTGTCAGAACTTTCGAATGGACATTATATTGTGATCACTGCATGAAAAGAAACACACACACACACACACACACACACACAACAAATGAGAGAAAGCCAGTAGCCCATAAACAAGGCTTCTCTTATGGCAAAAGCCAAGGAGGGTTAACGGACAATCCCCCCGCACCATCACCACTACTCAAGCACCTGGATCTATGAATAAGTACAACAGGAAAGCCTGGTATCAGTGTCTTTCCTATACCCTCCCCTACTCTACTTCTCCCAGAGGCAGGAACCAGTGACTTCATGCTGAATCCTGAATACTCAGAACCCAACTTAAACTTCCCTCATTCTTTCCTCTTTCCTAGCAGGGATCAATGTTCCAGACTTTCCTGTGTTTCCACATACTTCAAAGTTTCTCTCTCCTATATGTTGTTTTCAGCTAATTCAATAAAGCAATCACGTTAATGTCATCTTATGGAGTCATGGGTAAGACAGCTCAAGTGTCAGTTTGCCCAGGTAACCACTTATTGAAGGGAGACCCCCTGGAAATAATGTCTTACTCCAAAGGATAATGTTAAAAGTGAGAATTTCAGTTACTGTCAAACTGATTGGAAAATATGTTTAGAAGATAGACTGCCTCTCAGGATGCTCCAAGTCTTTCCTGTTGCATTTATTTATCCATAGGATAGGCCCAGCATCATATATTCATTTTCTATAAGTCAAGCATCTTCCCTCCAACAATGCTATGACTACCATAAATGCCCATGGAAATAAGCAAACTCAAACTCAAAGTGCATACTAACATAATGGAAGTAACTGACTATGGCCTTTTTCTTAAAAAAAAATCTAATGGGGACTCTTTCCCAAATACACATACACACTATACAAGTATAATAAATATGTGTGTGTATATATATAATACATATGTGTGTCTGTGTGTATATATATATGCATGTGCATGCTAGTTTAAATACTGGTCTTGACAATTCTGCCACCGAAGCTAAAATTTATATCAAGTCATCAGTAATGAGTGCATTTCTTCATATTATGATACTTCAATTTTGCCTTTGAGTTTAGATCCAACTGCAATGAAACAAATTCTCTATGGTACATTCTTACCATCAATTGATGTTCGTTTGGGCAAAATTGTCACAGCCCCTTCTGCAATCTCCTCTTGCTGATAGACAGGTGCTATTTTGGATCCCCAACTATCTGAGCCAATCCAGAGAAAATGCCCACTTTGGTTTAGTTTTTTTGCTGCTTCCAATATCCTCCTATAGGAATAAAAATAAATAATGCATACCACATGTATTAAAAATACCACAATTATGAATATTACAAGAACAGCTTTGGGAAGTTGTATACACTCAGTAGGTCACTGTTTAACAATTAACATGATCATTCTAACTGCCCACATCTTATCATCTCCTAAAGGCAATATAGCAGAGACTAACTCCAACACATGTTAATTAGCCTTATCCTTAACCTCATTCACATCATTCTGTCTATCACCCTTGTTTGTCTTATCTCATTCAGTCCCCAAGTTTTACTCTGTAGGTATTTCAGATTTACAAACTACGAGGCAGCAGAAGGCAGTCTGTTATTGGAAGGGAATTACAAGCTTTTATGTTGAACATGAAATATATTAGAAAGAGGATATGGGACACAGATCTGACCCTACATACAGAAGAAAAGTAATCAGCACCTGATGTCATCCTCATTGGCAAACATAATCACTGCTCGAGCATTAGGTGTTTCTAGCAGGCGTTTGATAATTTTTTCAAATTCTCCAGGTCTTGGTTCACGTGGGATTTTCTGTGACTGAGCAATGCAAACACCACCTATTTAAAAAAAGAAAAAAAAAGGCGGGGGGAGGGGGTGATTCAGGAAGAGCATTTATTTAATTAGCAAACTCAATTAGCTGCTTTATAAAAGCACATAATTCTGTATGAATATTATTTCTCAAAATATGTGTCACTCTCACCTATTAAGAGCAATTGTGTTTGTTTGCATTATAATATATTCACCAAATAAATGACAATAATTATTAATCAGACATGGGTTTCATTCCCAAAATTTAAACATTATTTTTGTGGATATATCTAAGAAAACCAAGATGTATAAGATGTGTGATGAGAGTCAAAAGGTGGAAAGAGGAAGGGCTGTTTTGATTTATGCAACATAAGCCAAAGGACAAGTGACAGAATTAATAAAAGTATGAGTATGTCTTGTAGTTGAGACCCTTATTAAGTAGCAAGGTCCTTTTGCTACTTTAATTTACTAGTAGACTTCTCTTAAAGTTAATTTCATTGTATAGCTAATAGAACTGCAGCAAGATCCTCATGCATCAGCATAACAATGTCTTATGTGACAAGTGTTCTTCAAGACTATATAAGACACAGGCAAACCCCAAAGATGCCAACTCTTGATTGACATATATCTCCACTATGAAAATGGCAGAAATACCATCTCATTTTCACTGTAAATAAAAAGAAAGAACCCTTATTTTGGCCTCTCTTTCTTAGGCAATGAGGGACAAAAGAGAAAAGTATAGAAAAGATCTCTGCCTCTGGGCTGGGGTAGGAGGAGAAGAAAGAGGTTCCCCCAACTGCAGTGAAACAGAGAGATAACATTCTGAAACTAGATGAGAAAGCAATATTAGCAATAGGTTTCAATTGTATTATGGTATAAACAGTATTTTTTTAAGTCAGCTAAGAATTAAATCACCATTTATAGCATTGCTTCAGTAGGCAAAGGCATTTTTACTTCCAAACAATTGACAATGCACTCAGTCATCCAACTGTTATTGGATGCCATTATACTCTATGCACTGGGCTCAACATTGGAAATGCACAGTCTAATCCAGGAGTTACCATCTAGTCTGGGAAATAGGCATTTGAATAAGTTACCATGGAATAGATAATAAAGTATATAATTCATAGGATATTCAATATAATCAGAACACAGAAGAAGGACTAACTAAAGTGCTTGAGAGAGCTGAATTTTAAAGAGCAAATATACATCCATGTGGGGACAAAGTGGAACATGTCTGGTGGAAGCCAAAGTATGTAAAAACCTAGCACAATCATGGCCTATGGTAGAGACTGGCTGGGTCTGAAGTTGGAAACAATGACCAGGTCCAGCTTGAGAATGGCTTTGTTAGACGTGCCAAATTCTGTAGTCTGAATGTTAATATGTTAAAACTTAATCCCCAGTGTGAAAGTATTAGGAGATGGTACTGTTGGGAGGTGACTAGGTCATGAAAGTAGAGTCCTTATGAATGGGATTAGTGTCCTTATAAGAAAGACTCCAGGGATATTTCTTGCACCATCTGCCATGTAAGGACACAGCAAAAAGACACTGAACCAGGAAGAGGGCCCTCATCAGCTCTTGACCATGCTGGCACCTTGATCTCAGGCCTTCAGCCTCTAGAACTATAAAAATAAATTACTATTGATTAAGTCATCCAGTATATGATAATTTTTATTTTTATTTTTTTAGATATGGGGGTGTCACTCTGTCACCCAGGCTGGAGTGCAGTGACCAGATCATAGCTCACTGTAGCCTCAAAGCCCTAGGCTCCAGTGATTTGCCCACCTCATCCTCCAGAGTAACTAGGATTACAGGCACATGCCACCAAAACCGCACCAGTCTCCTATAATAATTTATTATGGCAGCCCAAAGAGACTAAGACATCAAATAACTCAAACTTTATTCTGAAAACAAGGGGAACCCATTAGGTTCATCAGCAGGAGAAGTACATGCTGAGCTTTATGCTTTAGGTAGACTTTCAAAGAAGAAAAGTCTGGTAGCCAAATGATAGATTTCCAGGGCGCTGTGATCAAACCTAATACATACAGCAGATGTATGACTAACTAGTGCTAGCACATAAAACTATTTTTCTTACAAGTTAGAGAACATTCAAAATTATACCTGTAATAGCAGGACTCTTAGTAACCTTACAATACACATTCCAGGGGTGGGAATTGTCCATAATACACAGATTGGGCTGTGTCACTGCCTGCAGTTAGCTAGTCTACTGATACACCACTACTAGTTGTGATAATTGATTCATTCCTTCAGTAAATATTTCTTGAGTGCCCAGTATCTGCCAGATACTGTGTGGGTGCTGTGGACACAATGGTGAATAAAAGAAATTCTCTAAGTTCACAGAATTCAGAAATATTATGGGTAAATCAGGCTTAATGCAAAATAAAAAGGAAGAAGAGAAAAAGAAGGGAGAGGAAAAAGAAGAGGAGCAGGAGGAGGAGGAGAAAGAGGAAGAGGAAGGAGGAGGAGGAGAAAGAGGAGGAGGGAGTGGAGGAGGAGGGAGTGGAGGAGGAGGAAATGGAAGGAGGAGGAGCAAGTGGAAGGAGGAGGAAGAGATGGAGGAGGAAGAGGAAGAGAAAAAAGGAGGAGGAGGAAGAGGAAGAAGAAAGAGGAGGAAGGAGGAGGAGGAAGGAGGAGGAGAAGAAGGAGGAAGCAGAAGCAGAAGAAGCAGAAGCAGAAGCAGAAGAAGAAATAATACATAATTATAAATTATAATGAGCCCTGTGGGGAAGAGCAAACGAATTTAATTTAGATTGAGGACTGCTCAGGGAAAGCCACCCTAAAGTGGTGTAATATAGTCGAGATCAAAAGGATAAGAGCATGGGAAAGGGCAGGAAAGGGCCAATGGAGTCAATGAATGAGGGCCAGAAGGGTGGGCAACAAAAATGAGATGGAGATAAGGGTCAGATTGCAAGGGCCTGTGGAAGACTAGGAATAATTAAATGCTTAACTTTCTCACTAAATGTTTCTATTTCTTTGATCTTTGAGTGGCCCATAAGAATATGTCTCAGGTATGAGCATTGCACTCCATGGAAGAAAAACAGATGAGGATCGCTGATACAGAGTGCAGCCTGAAGTGAGATGAACAGGAGGCAATGAACCCAGCCAGGAGGTATTGGAATAAGCAGTGGGAAATGATGACTGAGCCAGTGCTACTGGTGCTGGGGAGGAGCAGTTGGAGCTAAGGCAGAATCTCTGAGTTCGAGTCAATGGAGCTTTTTACTGATCTGATGTAAGTAGCGAAGCAATGGGAAACCACGAAGTATGACTCCAAGGATTTGGTCTTTGTGACCAGTTATGTGACGGTATCATTAAACAAGCGGGAAATCCAGGAGGATAAGGAGGAGAAAATAATGATTTTGATTGGAGGCAGGTTGTCTTCAAAGTATGCATGGAACGTCAAACTGAAAAAGTGAATCTGGAGCTAAAGATAGAGAAGAGAAATGTAATACTTTTGTCAGGGGCTGATAGGTTAGGTAACTGCAGTGTTGTGGGGCAAAGAGGTCACTAAGAGAGAATATTTAAATCAGCAATAGAAAAGGTGGATTATAGAACTCTGAAAAAAATCACCAGGTTTGGAGAAGGAGGAAAGGAGTGATTACATATTTTGAGAAAACTTTTGGAATGAAGTCTAGAGGAAAGTTGAAGACTATGTATAATTTCTTTAAAATGCAAACAAACAAACCTCTGTGAGTGGAAACATTAGGTAACTGCAAAAATGTAACACAAAGTAACACTCTCCAGGGAACAATATCTGTTTCAAAAGATGACTGCCCTTTTAATTAAATTGCCATGATTACTTAAGCATCCCATTAAAGGCATGTTATATGCTGAGTATCATTCTGAGACTGTTACTGACTCTGTAGCCATAAAAAATTAAGTTCTGAAAATTTTTATTATTACTGTTTCAGAAGAAGCAAACAAGCAATCCAAACATAGTTTAGTCTGAATTCATTGATTTATTTATTCACGATGGACCTATTAAACACTTTTGTTTGTAAAGAGCTGAGTTCGCTGAGTTGAATTTTAACATAGCTTAAATCCATTTCACTTTTTACTATTCCCATACCACACCTCATATCTTTCAACCTGGTCAGTTTGTATTTTCCTGGAAAGAGGCACTGGAGTATTACTCTATTAAGCTGAACAAATGCTTGTAGAGAACCTGTTCCACATGGCACTGTGCTGTTTGGTGCCTGTAGATATTTTATTAAAGTGTAGATTGATTATTTATCAAATGATTATAGTTAGAAGACTGGGATTATTTCCTGAACCCTGATACCCATTCACACTTTCTTTCTTCATATCAGTCAAAAAGTCAGACAGCTAATCTATTCGTAAGCATTCATGGTCTACTATGTTTCAGGAGTTACAGACAAAGACTGCCAGTCCTCAGCAGTTATGATATAATTGAATGATAATACGTACACATAAGAAACGTCAGACAAGGGTGTAAATTAGGTAACACAGATAACAGCATAAGATATACCACAGTTCAGTCATAAATGACAAATAGGTCATCCCCTAAAACAGTCCTACGATTTCATAAGAGGAAGGGGTCATTACCTACTGTTAGAATTTGGTTTTAAAAATCCAATGAAATTCAAAGATTCAGATCTCATCAAAGATACATTTTCCATACAATACTCCACATCCATTGCTTGACTTTTTAAAGAGACTCTGTTTTGATTTAAATTCTTGGGGTGGGTGGGTAGAAGAGAAGTTGCCCTTCATCAAATAATTGATCCACCACATCTCCTCTTCCATGTCTCACTCTGAAAGATTACTAATTGTGTACAATTCAAGGGACATTAACTTTCCTATTCTGCAGGGGTGTTCCTGTTCTGTCATTTTTAAAGCTTAGTACTTACAGGGAAAATGTTCTATTAAGGAATTTATAATTGGCTGTTTTCTAAAATTTCCTGGCTAGTTTCCTTGAAGCCTATGTATTTTTTTCCTTCTGGTTACTTAACAATAATTTAAAGATCATTTATTGAATTTAACACTTCAT